CAACACTGAAAGAGTTCAAACCCTTCTAATGTATCAAAAAGTACAAGTAATACATGAAATTTTCTTTAAATTTCACGCAAAAAGTATACATATTCTAGCTAAGATTTTATATATATGTGTGTGTGTGTGTGTGTGTGTGTGTAAATTTAAAATTTAATCATCAATTAAAACAGTTTAATAAACAACGTTGTTTGTTTCTTGTACAAAGAAGGAAAAGAAGAGTCTATATCATCATAATCAACAAGGAAAAGAAACACACACACACATAACACATGCAACTTGGTATGGCGACAATTTAGTTTTTAAAATATTGTTATGATTTAAAATGTTGACTTAGTGTTGCATTTGTTGGGATGGTGACAATTTCATTTATTACAATATTATTGGTTTAAGTCATTTTGATTATGAAAAATTATCCTTTTAAAGTAATGCGAATTAAATATTCTGAAAATATTTCAAGTAGACCATATAATCATCATTGTTTGAGGATAAGTGGTTTTGAATAAGTTATCATAGGAAAGTTTTTGAGTCTTTTATCAATTGGATTTAGACAGTGACATCTGATATCTTGATTGAAAAAATATGAACAATGAAAATTTGATCTTTTTAAATAAATTAATGAATGAAAGAGAGGGGTGACCTCAAATAAGCTTCATTTTCTTCTCCCTTGCCCATCCTAACCATTCCTTTAAATGAGAAGAAAATTAAGGAGAAGATAAAATTATGACACCTTTAAAATTGTGAAGGAGGGAGACCATGATCTGGCTGTGAACAATGTGGCGGTTGACTTGGCTTGAATAATCCAATTAAATGGATAAGTCTTACATAATTTTTTGGGTTAGGATTCACTTCTATCTCTCAACTATTTTTGGAGGAACGCTGGACACCTTGTATTGATAAGTGGGATAATTTTTCTCTTGAACCATTTTTTCCAATAATAATAAAAAAATTCCTTTCATTAGTCACCTATTAACTTTTCTGTTTTTTGCTCACATGGCATGTGTGTGAGGCTTACACATAGTGACAAGTAAAACTCAGATTATATTCTTTGATACTAATTTATTTTTGAACTCTTTTTCTAAGAATGTTAGGTATGCTGAAGTATTTTACTAGAAGCGTTAGGCACCATAAAGTTTTGTTAAAATAAAATTTAACAAATATTATTAAAATATTAAATATTTTAATATTTAATAATTTAAATATTTTATTTATAAATATTCATCCAAAATTTATTTTTTAAATATTAACAATTTAAATTAGTTTTTCAAAAATTTATAAATGATTTGTAATTTTTTATATACCAATCATGTTTTTAATATTAATTAAATTTTTTAAATTTTTTAGGTCATTTTCTATAATTTTTTAGTCAATTAACAATTTTTTTCCAAAAATTTCTCCATCTAAATGTAATACTCTCTAGATGTTGTAGTGTTAATGGTGAAATAAAAAATATAACGGATCAGGACTAACATGCTAGTAAAAATGCTTATTTGAAAGACATTGCAAGTCCCATTAATGTGTTATAAAACTTCTTTTGTTTTTATTTGTAGAAAAAAAAACTGTATCATATATTATAAGAAAATTAGTTAACTATATTAATTATGTCTAAAAATAAAAAATTAAATTAAAATACCCTTCATTAATTCTTTCTTGTGAGTGTGAATGATGGAATTATAAGTGATAATTTAACAAATTTATAATAAATGCTTATTGCAAAATGTGATTTTATTTATATAAAAAAATGACAGTTTTTTATATAAATAAAAATGCAGGGAATACTTAACAAGAGAATAGTGAAGAGATAAGGGCGAAAATCCCTCTATTAATTTGGAGGTTCATTTTATCTATTAATTTGAAATTTTATTCACTTCATTTTTAATACAAAGTTGCAAAATATTAAAAATATTAAATATTAAATTTGGATAGTTTAATATTTTAGAGGAAGACTATTAGTTGATAAAAAAATTATAAAGAAGAACTTAAAAAAAATCTAAGAAATGTAATTAATATTAAAAATATTATTGATATATAAAAAATCAAAAGTCATCTATAAATTTCTGGAAAAACTTATTTGAGATGTTAATGTTTTGAAAATAATTTATAATTTTTTAATGAATATTAATAAATAATAATATTCAAATCATTAAATATTAAAATATTTAAAATTTTAACAATATTTATTAAATTCTATCAAAGTTGTTGGGGCAAATGAAAGAGCTATTAGAGCTTTCTGGGATGGTGGTGAAGTGGATGATATACAGGTACTTCCTCCATTAAAAAATATAAGATAATTTTAATTGAATTTCACTCTCTAATAAAAGTAGTTACTTGCTTTTTAACGAATTCTATCTTTTTATATTTACCTTTATTTAATTAGGTGTTTCACCCTAAAATAAATATAAAGTGATTTATTCAATAGGAGTACTTTTAAAAAAAATACAATAATTATATTTTAAAAAATTAAAAATGCCTTGCTTTTGTAACGAAGGGAGTATAAGTTATTTGGGTTGCTAAAGCGTGTTCGATCGAATGGGACCGAGGTGGGTGTTGAGAGAGATTGAGACTAAAGATGACTAAAGAAGGAGAAGGAGAAGAGAGAGAAAGTGTGTGTGGATTGGCCACATTTTTTCTTTTCCAAAATGCCAACTAGTAGATAAAAGTTAAAGTAATGGTTAACAAATGGTCAAACTAACAACAGGGCAAAATTATTCCTTTTTTTATTTAAAGTTTGGGGGCATATTTGCTCAAAAAAAGTTTAGAATATTAGGCATTGCTGGAGAAAAAGTTTCAAAGCATATTTTACCCTTTAATTCAATTTTATTTTAACAAAACTTTAAGGTATCAAATGAATGTTTTTAGAAAAAGATTTCAGGATGTCAATGCCTTTGGAGAAAGAGTTTAGAATCAAATAAGCATTAAAGGACATAGTCAAGGTCCTGCATGTCACTGTGCGTCAACCCATGCATATGCCACGTCAGCATAAAATGACAAAATTAACAAGTGAGTAACGGAAATATTTTTTTTGCTCCTCAAAAAAATAGTTTAGAAGAAAAATTTTCTCACTTATTAATATAAGATGTCCATTACTCCTAAAAAAAGGTTCAGAGGTAAAAATTAATCCTAAACCTAATTTTTTTAAGAAATATTATCCTTTTAAAATAATGTGAATTAAATATTCTAAGAATATTTTATGCAGACCATAATCATTGTTTGAGGATGGGTGATTTTGAATAAGTTATCATAGAAAATTTGGTTGAGTCTTTTGTCAATTGGATTTAGAAAGTGACAACTGATATTTTGATTGAAAAAATATGAACAACAATAATTTGATATTATGAAATAATTTAGGGGATGAGATCAAGAAAGGGGTGATATCAAATAAGCTTCATTTTCTTCCCGCCTCACGTTGCCCGTCCTAAATGTATGATGTAGGAAGATTTATTATATATTAAGGCTAGATCAGGTGATAAAAGTATCATGGAGTTTTTATATATATATATATATATATATATATATAATATTTACATACATACATGTGTATGTATATATTAATTATGTGAGAAAATACAAAAGGGCTGGTAGCGACAAGGGAAAGGGGAAGGGTATTTTGGTAGTTCAAGAAATATTAAAGAAGAAATATTTAGAGAAAAACTTATATATTTAAGATGCTTGAGTTCAATTAAATCAATATATGTTAATTTTTTATAGATTATTTGTTCTCTAAATAATTCTTGTTATTGATATTACTAACACATTAAAATACACTTGTTTTAATTTAATTGAATAAAAATATGTCAAGTATAAAAGTCTAAATACATAAGTATCCAAGATTTATACTTCAATAGTTCTCAATATCTCTTTTGCTACTAGCATATAATTTTAAATATATATTTAAAAAAATGCAATTTAATATTCAAGGAGGACATAAAGTTGATGAATTTTTTAAAATTCAACTCACCCAAATTTTTTATCACAAAAAAAAGTTGGTAAATTCAAAATTTATTTAATGAGATATAACAGGAAAGTGTTTTTGAGCCAAAATTGTATATGTATGTTATAATTTAATTACCCACTTCTTTGTCTTGTAATTAACACTAGCATGCCATATAAATTAATTGTTGCTTACTGAGACTCTGCCTCATCTCGTGATTTATAGTATTTATAGGTGAGAATTCCAAAGGTGACCAATCAGAGAGAGCTCCCAAGGTTTGGCTCTGTCGTTGTTCATTGTAAATCCCTCATTAGCTTTATCATACGTTAATGGTTGTATATTGCCACCTAGGACCCACCATGAGTTCACTATACCTTTGGATTCTAATTATATGTATTTGTATTGGATTGTTCATATTATGACTGGATTAATTATATGATACTGAGTATTATTCATGAATTAGTTTGTGAAGGATTTTTTTTTTTTGAATAGTAGGCCATAGGAAAACCATGCTATGTGATATGATGTCTCATATCAACATACAAAAACTTTATACAACCAAAAGGTGAAGTATAAAAAATGTGAACTCTAAAACTTCTGATAAGAGTTTGGTAAGCTAACTCATCAGCGCATTTATTTACTTGTCTAAAAACATGATCAAAAGTAATTATTTGTAAAGGATTTTAATAAATGTTGTTTGGGTTTGTTGTTGATAAGATGTTAGTTAAATTTGTATTTGTGGGGCTCAAACATGCCCAATCCCATATATTGTTTCCCCAAATTCATGATTTCTAAATCCAACAAACCAATCACAAACAAAAATACCCAGTGAGTGGCATAAATAGTCGTGGTTTGGGTTTCTTAAGCGTCATTTTAGAGTTTCATTTCTAAAAATATGCATGGAGAGTAATGTTTGAGAGATGATAACCTCTTAAATGATGTTTATTTCTCGAGGAATTAATCTTATGGTTGCTAGCTGTGAAAATCCCTTGGGGAAAAAATAATCATGCAAACAATATTCCTTCCACCTATGCCCATAATGCAATAATTTCAACAACGCAAAGGCACTAGGTCTCGGTTCCAAGTTCTAAAGACACAAACTATTCAGAATATCCATGAAAAGTGTACAAAAATAACTTAATGCTCAATGACTACTTTTAATCAAAAGTATGCCAAAAAAGGTTCTAATGCCTGGCAATACACATGTTTTAAACAAATCAAAATTCATGAGGTTTTACACCAAAGATGAAAGCCTCAATTTTCATGTGTCTTCCCTGTCGCTCCTACTGATCTCTTGTTGAAAACATCAAAACTACAGTAACCACAGAATAATATACAAACAAGTATACAATGTTGACTATGAATACATAGAGAGAGAAGATCTATAAAGCAAGTGCTCGCATAATTTTTAATGCAAAATACAAGCAACGTAGCCTGCACTGTGCTTTCTTCTCCTTTTGATGCCAGGTCACAAGCAGGTTGGAGCCACCAGAAGTGGATCATACTCAGCCATGCTCTTTCTGAAAGCACACATGCAGCTAGGAAATTATACTATCCTTGGGCCTGAATGAAAATATCCAAGTAGAGCAACCCAAAAAGCTAGACAAGGCACAGAGATATTCAAATTTTTTGACAGAAAATCAATTTAAATGTAGAATTTTGGAACCGATTAGGAAACATAAGTTCAAGAAAAAGGAATGTGATGACAAAGTTGGAAACTAAAGAAAGATAGATATGTTTACTAAAATGGCAAGAAATATATAAATAACCACCCTATTGGTCGTCACCAAGGAATATGGGTAGCTCCAAGTGTCTGTATCTACCCATCTTCTCAGTTACATTTTGTGTCACCTGCACAAGATGAGTCATGTCTTTTGAGCTCGTCAATGGAATTTATTGAGATTCGGCCAACAACTTCCCTCTATATCCTGAAGTGATGGCCTTTCAAAGCTCTCCCAGATGGCCTCAAAGCTCAAGTATTGTTGTCTTGACTGAAGTTAACTCATCCTTCATCTCTCCAATGCTTCAACTCGATTGATGGTTCCGACCATGCCCCAAGAAATTGGTGCTCTGATACCAAAAATGATGAAACCTTAATCAATGGTATTATTCATGCATGTGTAATGATGTCTTCCCTAACAGTGGTATAGAGGAGAGTAATACATCAATTCAGTGCTCAGATGAAAGAAAATAATGCAGAAACAAAGAAAGTTCCTCTGGAACTTGAGAGATCGGAGGACTGTCCTGCATAAATTGATCCTAAACTCGTTTTTGATGCAATGTGACCCTTTAACTATTGAAAATGGTGCAATATTGCCCCGATCTTTAATAAATGTTAACTTTGATTATTAGTTAACCAAAAAATTATGAAAAAGGACTTCAAAAATTACAAAAAAGAATATTAAAAAATTTCTTGGTCATTTTTTATAATTTTTCAGGTCCTTTTCTGTAATTTTTTTGGAGTTATTTTCTGTAATTTTTGATGTCTTTTTTTTTTATAATTTTCTAATTAACTAACAGTTAAAGATAATTTTTACTAATGATAAGGGCAGCATTGCATTGTTTTTAAAAGTTGAAGAAAAACGTTGTATTAAAAATGAATTTAGGATCTCAAACGCTCTATAATTTATTGTTTAAAGATAAAATAGCCCTTTAACTCTATGATAAATTTGCTTGACTCTGACGTCCCTTAACCCATGCAAAAAATATTCTACCCTTCTCCCTAGCCAGTACAATAGTTACAGTGAATTTAATCACCTTCCACCTCACCATCAGTTGCGGTCCATCTCCCCAGCCAGTACATACTTGTGAACCCATTGTTGTCCTTCCTCCAAATAATTATTTCTCTCTTTCAATGCATCTTTCCTCATAAATCATTCTTACTTTCCTCCAACCTCTCTTCAACGGACAAACATAAATGAACAGAATGACTCATGGAAATATAGATTGAAGGTTGGGATCAATCTCACTAGTTGTGGTATTGATTTGTGTCTTTGACTATTAAATATTTGTTTAATCTTTTGGTTTCACAGTTTTCTCTTATCCCTAGTATATTAGGATTTGATTACGTTAGTATTCTATTTGCTTTTCTACTAGATTAGTATTCCATTTCCTTTTCATTCTCTCCTACAGTCAAGCATGAATCTCTGTATCAAAGAATGGACATTATGGAGTGCAAAGCATTCTTCTATCTCCTAATCAATGGAATGAATAAAAATGATGCTGCTAAAAAAATTTTAACATCAGAAGAACAGTATTTAATGATGTTATGCACATTTCAAATTCTGAGATCAATGAATACAAAAACCAATAAACAAACAATACGAGATACAATGTTGTGATCAAGCAATGGACTTCCTAACAATATCATTCATTTCATTAAAATTGATCTAAGATAGTGAAATATATCAAGTCCTAAATTTACTCCAAACCCCATGCTGAAAGCAACCTTTAGCACGAATTTATTTATGAATTGAGTTTTTCCCTTCACCACAAATAAAATGACTCAAAAGCAAAGAAAGACAGTCATTTCTTTCCAGGTTAACAGGGTCTAAATTATATACTGAATTGCCACCATTATATTTATAACAACTGTCAAACCCCCCCAGGAGGCACTCGATTTGAAAGCTGGAACTACAACAGCTTAAAAGACACGGGAATATAAATAAATGAGCTATAGTTTGTAATAGAACAGCATAAACAACTTGTATACGTTAATCTTATTGAACCAGATGAAGAGTGTAGCTTTGCTGCATGTTTGGTTGATGCAAGGTCACATCAATCCAGACAAGGAAAAAAGGGAACTACTGATTACTTCTGAAATCTTATCTTTGTATGACCATTGACAATAGGCAGCTAATCCACATCACATGTTTCTGTGTTTAACTTTAACATATTCTTTTTTTTTTTTTTTTTTGAATGAACTCATGAGATAAAACAGAAAGAGATTAGATCAAAACAACCAGTTACCTTCTATGCCTAAAAAAGAGATTACTCAAGTCTTGAACCAATACTACAACAGTAACAAGCTTGATTCACATAGAGGTTTATCATATTGGTGAATTCCAAGATAACATTCATAAAGCAGTGAAGACATTGGCAAAGCTCTAATGGATCAGAAATACAAACGGTCTTGGCAATGAAGTGACAAAGTTGCACAAATTCAAGCATGTAAGGTAAATGATAATCTAATTCCATATTACTCAATCTAATAGTTCAAATGAGATTCCTTTTTGTCAAGGAAAAATCCCAACACTCAAAATCATATTTAATGGGAGCCAAACATCAAATAGACATTCAAACACAAGATTGAGCAACTAAAATCAACATTAAGCATAATTAATCGATAAAAACAAGCCTAATCCATCATCAGATTCATAATTCCTTTAGGTTTAAGAAGAAATCAGCCACATATAGCTTTGAACATGGCAAATCAGTGAACTATACATCAAAATGAAGAGAAAAAGGAGAAGAAAAGCTTAATTAAAGTGATTTTGGACGAAAACCACTAATCTCCCATGAAACCCATGCTTCTCCAACTCGTCCTTGGTGTTCTCCCTTCATTCCCCACATACAGTAGCTGCTGGAAGTCCAGAATGTTGAGCTCCCCCCTTCAGAACCCTAGAAATATTAGTTTTCTTCAAAGCTGAGCGTTTCACCAACTGACGAACACGCCATGGCATAATTGTGTCACGCTATGATGTAAGACCATTCTGTTGCCTGTCATTGGGTATTACACTCTAGCATCTACAAAGATGCCGTGGCATACTTGCTCACAGGTTTTTCTACCATTATGACTGAATTCATGCTGTGGCATAAGGCAGAGATGTGGTGTAAATTTTAACTTTGCTTTGCCTTCGATCTTTACTTACTTAAAGAGTTTTTGACTTCTAATTTGGATCATCCTACACACAACATAACAACATTCATGCAAATTTAGCTCAAGCAACCAATTCATCTCAATAAAATCCTATCAAGTCTCCTTTCTTATTTTCAAAAGCATTTTTCTTTTATTTTTTAAAATAATGATTTAATTTCCCTCAAAATTAATTAGATACCCCAAATTGATTCCAATATTCCCTAACACATATAAAATATTTGGAGTCATCAGTAACAAACACAAGAATTAAGAGCTGGAAAAAAATCCAACACTCATAATCTTTTACATGAAGTGAAATAAGATAAAAAAAATGTTTGGACTATTCTGCAATGAGATTATGTTTTTGCGTAATAATGGAGATTATTAGGCAAACAGTGACATCTTAAGTGAATAAAAAAAAATTAAGTACAGATTAGGTAATTCAGTTCACACTTCTGCCTAACTTTAACATTTTGAGCCAATTTTAAAACATCTTCGCAGAGAAGAAAAAGATGCAGAAACTCATTAGAAGTAAACATTGATGGATCAAGCAATGCCTGTTGTGGAAATATATTCACTACACATTGCTAGCAAATAAAATAGCGTTATGAAACTCATACTACTTCCTTCTCATGCTATATTTTTACTCTTAGGCTGTAGAGATAGAGGAGTTCAAAATCTTCAAATAAAAACCTAGTAACTTGAATCCTAATTTTTTTAGTGTGAGGTTCTGAATTGTGGGCATATCAAAGACACCATACATAGGCTTTACCATATTAGACTCCAGAAATTTCTTTCAAATTCCCAAACACTAGAATAAGCAAAGAGATCAGTAAAAGAGTTACATGAATTTGGGGAATAGTGATCAGTACAAAAGTTTCCATCACACGTAGAAAGCAAACCATTGCACACGAAGCTAAGGCGACAGCAAGGAAAACAAATAACGAAACAGTGAAGTCAGAATCGATCACCACATAGCAAGTAAAATAACAATAGTGGAAAATAAAAAATTCAAAGAAAAACTGAAATGCTGACAGAACAAAAGAGAATCATAATACACATGGCCATGGGCCATTAAAGGAAGACAAGGAAAGACAGAAAATGAGAGCTTACCGTTAGCTATGTGCATCTTTGTGATCCTAAATTCTTCAAGTGTAATACCCTTTTCTTTTTCAATTGGGTTTACCATATCCACACTGCGAAATCTGTTGCCTATATCATGGAAATAGACAATAGTTATTAGGTGAAACTCGAGGCAACAATTTTGAAACGTTGCCTGGATTAATGCGTATGGGAAATGTGTTCTGTATATTTTCACTGTATGCATATAACATGTTTTACTTCATCTCTTTGTCCCCGTCATGTAGTAAAGAAAAATCAGCCCATTATATTCTTCGATGTAGCATATATTAAATCAGCTTTAGGAAGTGACCTATCCCCAAAAACAAATGTGTTTACCTTGATCTTAGCCTCGATGTATAGTAGTTTGCCCGGCAATTTTCCTCACCCTTCTCTGTTTCATTTGAGCTCTAACCATATCCGCTTCTATTCTTTTACCACAAGAAGCGTAAATATTGGATAAAAGAACATATCGACCGGCGTTATTGGAGTCCAACTCTAAAAGATATTTTGCAGCAAGCTCAGCCATTTCTACATTTGAATGAATTCTAGAGGCACCCAACAGTGCTCCCCATACAGCTGCACCTGGCTTTATTGGCATCTTCTGAATAAAGTCATGGGCTTCACAAAGTCGCCCAGCACGACCCAAGAGATCAACCACGCATGCATAATGTTCAGAAACTGGTCTTATTCCAAAATCTCTACTCATGGAATTGAAGCACTCCCATCCTTCCTGTATCAATCCACCATGACTGCATGCTGACAAAACAGACACAAACGTAATAAGGTCTGGTTGTCGCAACGCCTTCATCTGATCAAATAAGTCCAAAGCTTCTCTAGCGTGGCCGTGTATCCCATAACCTGAAATCATGGTGCTGCATGAGATCTCATTTTTCTCCTGCATTTGGTCAAAAACTCTTCTGGCGTATGCCAGATTTCCACATTTCACGTAGAGATCGACTACAGAAGTTTCAAGAGATACTTGATTTTGGAAACAGTTCCGAATTACAAAACCGTGAATGAAACGTGCTTGCTGGAAACATGCCAACTGTGAACAAGCACAAACTACAGCCAGAAGGGTCACTGAATCAGGATTGATTTTTAACAAGATCATCTGTCTAAAGAGCCCCAAGGCCTCCAACGGCATACTAGCCCCAGCATAAGATTCAATCATTGATGTCCAGCATACCAAATCCTTATCAATTATCCCATCAAATAATGCCCGAGCAACATCCATCCTCCCGCATCTCGCATACATTCTCATGGTAGCATTCTGTATTAATCTATCCAAGTCAAGCTCATTGTCCATCACGAACCTCCTAACATGGTCAGCTTCCTTTTCTGTGTGCACACAAGCCATAGCGTTCAAGATGGAAGCTCTGTTTGGCACAATTCCATTGGCTAACATCTGCGAAAACAAGAATTGCCCTTGGCGGTAGCACCCATTCTGGGCGTATGCGCCAATAATTGAACTCCAAGAGACAACATTCTTGTCGAGCAAATCATCAAAACAACCGGCGTGCAATGTCATGACGGCCACACTTGCCATACAAAGTCAACAAAGAGTTAGCCACGGTCACATCAGAACCATACCCAAATTGCACCACATCAGCATGAACTCGAATACCGAACCGATAATCTCGTAGATAAGCACAGGCCTTCAGAACAAACGGGAAGGTGAAATTGTCTGGTTGGAGGTGGGGAAGTTGTCGCATTTGCGTGTAGAGTTCCAAAGAACGGTGATGGAGGGAATTGTCGAGGAAGCCACGTATCATGACGTTCCAGAGGAAGACATCGGGCGAGGAAGAGTGAGAAGCAAGAGAGAATAAGGTGGAAGCGAGTGAGATGGAGCCGAGAGAGAGTAGTGAGCGATAAGTTTAGTGGAGAAGAAGAGGTTGAAGCAAAGGTGGGACCTGAGCATGCAAGCATGAACACATTTCAGGGATTGGATGTTGCTACTTTGCTTGATCAAAGAAATGCAATTCTCTGCATGCACCGCCCTTGCTTCCATATTTGTGGGTGAAGGAGATTCACCACACAAGCCCTATTTCATCTGGTTTTGGCCTTGGGGATTATTAAGGGAAACCAAGGTGCCTGTTTGAACTGCATTGAAGCAAATGGCTAGTTCTCCACTAACTGGAAATGGACTCTCACAGCCACAGGTCAAGGGGCTTTTGATATATATATATAATTATACACACACACATATATATGTAGAGAGAGAGAGAGAGGAGTGAAGGAATGCCATAGGCAACGATTAGCATGATATTTCCTTGAGATATGGGAAGCATTAATTACATTTTTTCAAATTAAGTTTATCTAAAACATGCTTTTGATCATTTGACATTAAAAAAGTAAAATCGGTCTCTTCCTAACAAATTACTCCAGTAATTTTATTTATAAATTATTTTTAATATATTTTATCAAAATTTAAAAAAATTTAAAATTCATTAATTTTATTTAAAATTTAATAAATTTTTAAATTTACTACCTAAATGTATTTACTCTAACAATACATGTTCGTTCTTCAAAATTTAATATAGGATAAAAAATTTATAATTAAAATTTATTGACATGATTTAAATAAAATAAAATAAAATTTTTTACACTACCTATAAAATTGGACCAAAGGAAACAATTATGTTATGACATATCATTCTTATTTTTAAATATGGAATAGGACCCATGCCAATGACCTAATGATTTTTTGATGCATCTTCTTTTTTCTCTTTTGGGGCCGGTTGATGCATCACTCTTATTTTCTCATTCAAATAATTTCTGCAATAATTTTCAATAGTTCTTCAAAAGTCTTCAATGTACTTCAATTATCATACATATTTTTTCAAAAGTCTTCAACATATATATAACAACCCAAGTGTGTAGATATAAATTTAATTAATTAATTAATAAAAAAATTATGATAAAATAGTTAAATATTTTATATTTTTGGGGTAATTATAATAAAGTGAATGGTAATTTGGTGAGAATATTTCTGGATCTCTATTAGCAGGTTTAGAGTTTAATATGGTTGATGTTAAAAAACTTATTTTATTTTTGTTCTAACATTATAAATTATAAAAAAGAAAAGAAAAGAAGAAAGAATATAATATTAAAAAAATCAATAACACACGGTGGGCAGCAGGCATTAATTCTCATCCTTTTCCCTTCTTGCACATTCTCAAAATTTCAGTTTGAAAGAGAGACAGAACACGAGAGAAATCATCTTTATTTCCCAACTTTATTCTTCTTCTTCCAATCGCTTTTGTTAGTCACCAGTGGCAGTGGTTCATCCGTTGATGCTGTTAAGGATCTGTTTTAGTGGTTTCTCTTTTCCTTGCTTCTTGTTGTCACTTTGCTCTTTTCCTTCTTTGATCGCTGTAGCAGCATTGAAGGCTTCCCTTGCCAATTGATTCATGCTTGTTTGGTGGTTCAGCACTTGTTTCTCCATCTTCCCTTACCTTGACTTGGGGTGGGTATGCTTGAAATCTCTACTCCTCATTTTTTTTTTAGTGTGCTGCTGCTGCCCACTTGTGTGTGTGAGTGTGTTGCATGAGTTGTAAAATTTGATTTTTCTTCCTACTCATGTGTGATGCGTGAATTAGGAAGTGGATAGAATTTAATTAAGCTAGAAATTTAATTTTAAAGTTTATACTTTGTTAGGTAATTTCACTAGAGCTATTTTGATTATTATAAGAGGAAGAAGGTGGGTATAGAATCACTCTCTTCTTAAGCCTAAATTGATCTCTGATAAGAAGTTTGATTTGTATTGTATAATTGTGATATTAAAATTGTTGGGGCAAAAGATTTAAGGTTAAGAAGTTTAAATGGACTGCTTTAGAAATTTATACATATTGGGTGACAGAGAGAATTTGTTCATCTAGTAAAAATCTATTAAAATTCAATTATGTTTGGTAGAATCAGTAGAAGAAGAAAAAATTGATTGCAATTGTAAGAAAGAAATTTTAGAAACAGGGTGACATATCAAGTAAGTAAATAATGTTCCATAATAAAAAGAAGTGATAGTATTTCTTTTGGCTCATTCATTCAATCATTTATCTATATATATTCATTATTCAAGTTTAATTATGTATGTATTTCCATGGTATTTTACTTTCTTAAAAAAAATATTGTGTATGCATGGACCGGACAAATGGTGGATGAAAAAGTTATTTATACTTCACAAATTAAAGGAAAATTTTGAGCTATAAAGATTGTTGGATTTCATACATGACATAAATGTTTTATAGGACTGAATACAGAACACTTTGTTAATGACAGTTTCGTTAGCCCTTGACGCGTCATGTCACACCTAACTAGCAGAGTACATTAGAGGTGCTAGCTCCATGTGTCGACCAACACACGTGGAAGGGAGGATGGAATTTTGTGGATATAATCAACGCCTGTTATTCATGAGCTTCATGCTTGCCCTGTTTTTCGTGACTTCTAGTCACGCCAGATGTTACTTACCCTCATAAACTATATGTCCACGCCTATTATTCATTCTGTTTAGATCCTAACAAAAAAGAAATCTTTCAAATTGTATTTCTCGTTCGTAAAAATTGTATTTTTATGATTTGTTTTATATAAAGAATATATCCCTAACTTAATGATTACGATTCTCTATTCTCTTTTTCTATTTTGTTACTCAGTTACCAAGGATAAATTGTATGATAATTTTCTAATACCATTGATAATTAAATTAATCTCTGGTTTCCTATTATATATGTTTACGATTATTATTTTTATTTATAATATTATTTGGAAACATTATTTATTAAAAAATTTTGGTATTTAAATAGTAGAAGTAGATCTGTTCTTCAGTAGACCTCGTGGGATTCCTTAAGACAAGAAGTATTTTTTGTTGCTCTATTTACATTGTGGATTAATGTAAATATTTAAGTGTTTTGTTTTTTTCTCTAGAATTGCTCCACAAATCCTATAGGTAGAATCCTTATTTAAAATGTTCTAGATTATATATATATCTATTGTATCGGAGTAAAACTTTAAATGTTGTTTGGATATTCTTTTGACAGGTTGTAGAGATTTCAGGTAGTTTAACTTACAGGAGAGATTTTGTTTAAATTTCTATAATAAGTTTAAATATTTTGTTAATACTAATAGTTGTTTAATACAAATGATGATTATAGGATGAGATTGAGCAATTATTATGTTAGATATTTTATAGATTTAGGCTTATAGAATATGAATTTTTTTATATTCCACCCACTCACACTTTAAAAGTTCATGTGACAATATCTTTAAGAAATTTGTTTTCCAAATAATTTTTAATACCTCTCACGTTTTTATCAAAATCTTCGATAACTTTTAAGAGTTTTCAATTTTCTTCAAGAATCTTCATTGATCTTCAAAAATCTTCAGCATATATTCAAGCAAAATTTCTTCAAGTAGCTTCAATTATCTTTCACATTTTTTCAAAATTCTTCAATAATCTTCAACCTATTTTCACACGAAAAAATTCTTCAAGTAACTTCAATTATCTCTCACCTTTCTTGAAAATATGTTGACAATTTTTGAAAAAAAAAGTATGATAGATTAATAATTGAAGTTAGTTTGGGTGAATTTCCTTTTTATGAATGCTTGGCTTTAAAAGAAGGTTTGACTGTTCCCAAAAAAAAAAAGTGATAGCATACCTTTTTTTTTCTTTTTGAACAAATTAAAAGTCAATATTTGATTAAGATAAAATGATAGAACATAAAACCCTACAAACTAAACCGCTAAAATATAAAACAAGGAAAACAGTGATAAGAGGAAGTAAACAGTTATAGACCCAACAAATAATCACTCATAGAATCCATGAGTATTGACTATGACAAGCAAAGATTCAGAGCAACTATAAGAAGCAATCCCAAAGGAATGCAATATACTTGAAGGAAAATTAGCTTATGATATTGATGCAACATGCCAGAACGTAATGGATTAATAACGATTGAGACAGTGCAAGGGGAAACGACATTTATCTTCTTCATCCTCTGACTTGGAAAAATTTGTAGCAATCCAAAAAGGTCTTAAACCAAAATAGAGATTCAACCTGTTTGAAGTGACCTTATATGTGCCTTGTTGCCAATCCATCCATCATCTATGATAACAAACAGGTGCATGTGGGATTAGATTGTGAACCTCTATACAAATATTATAAACAAAATAAAAATTATGAATTATAGAATTTTTTATACAAAAAATATTGCCAAGAGTCTCTTGATTCTATGCTATCTCATCTCCTTGAAAGGAGGAGATTATGTGTGGATTCCATACCTTATGTGGTTAAGGGTGGGTGGTTTTGAGTGTGTGCTACCCTAAGCACTCTTCTCTATGGGAAAGGAATAAAAAAAATGATAATAAAATCCCTTAAATTATATAAATGATAATTTAATTATTCGAAATGCTATAATTTTACTGAAATCTCTAGAAATTTCTTGTCATTAAATTTTAAATTGAAAAGATTATTTTATCCTTATTGACAAATTATGATTCCTCATTCAATTCTTGCGACTCTTTGAATAAAAATTGTGATTATTTAAATAAAAGTTATGAACGTGGTTTGTTATCTCAAGAACTTATTTTTCAATAGTAAAATTACATTTGACAAATTATAATTTTTTATTCATTCTTGGAATTCACAGAATAAAAGTTGTTATTTCTTGATCAAAAGTTGTGATTGAGATTTATTTTTGAAAAAATTAATTTTTTAGTCCTCAACTTTTAAGTCATTTGTAATCAGACTCTCAACTTTTGAATCACTTACAAATTAGTCCAT